GCTATATGGAATTTAAGAATTTAGGCAGCAAATAAATTTTTGGGTTCCCCTTACAGATGTTTCTCCCTTCTTTAGCCACCGTAATGTGATGATGAGGCTGAACTTGCAGCTGACCATGGGGACTTTCTCCTTCTCTCTCTTTGGACTCCTAGGAGTTGCTTTTGGTATGAACTTGGAGTCATCTCTTGAAGAGGTAAGGAAGTCCTGTGTTTATCATAAAATGGGGGTCCTGCTCTTACAGCTTATTTCATATTTGGTACAGCCTGATTCTTTCCAGTGATTTATATGTTCATACAGTCACTTCCTTTGTAAGCAAATTACAGCATAGCAAACTGCACAGTATTGCAGCCTTTTTCCTGTGTCATGTCCATGGAAAAGAAAGGGAAAGACAAATTTTTGGTTGTATAAGTAGTTGTTTATAAAGTAGTATTAAAGTTTCTTTAATGAACATCTATTCTGACAAGAGCAGCTTTGTCTTCCAGATACAAGGGTATCAGTCAAGCAGCCAGTGCATTTCCAGCACATCAGAGGAAGCAATTTACTGTCAGTTATTATTTGTACCTAAACTGGGGAGGAAGGAGTACAGGCTGGGGGGGTACAACTTTAAAACTGCACATGCCACCTTTAAAACAGACATAGAAAGCAAAGACTTCTTCCTTTTCAAATCAGCTCAATATAAGGGTTGAATTTTCAAACTTCCCAATGAAGGAAGGAAAACTGCATGGAACAGTAACAGTATGTAGTAGAGTTATCCTAAATAAAATGCTTTGCTGTGAAACAGCCCTTTTCCCAAGGGAGGGCTTTGCTGTTGATGGTGAAGAGTTTACTGCTTCCTCCCATAAAGGAAGAAAACTGGAGGGGAATGAGAGATTATCTTTGGGTAATCCCTTTTCTGGAGAGATAGTTGGATGTCTAATGGGAGTGTTCTGTCGGTAGGACCCCAGGATATTTTGGTTGGTGACAGGGATTATGTTTCTGGGAAGTGGTCTGATCTGGCGGCGCTTACTTTCCTTCCTTGGGCGGCACCTGGATCCTCCACTGCCTCCTCACGTATGTATGGCTGGCTGGGGCTCCTGCCTCACACTCTGTGTCTACAGTCCATTCCTAAGGCAGAAAATAAGATGGCTTAGAGGGGCTGGCCACAAAGCATGGCAAAATTCAGCTCAGGTTCTGCTCCATGGCAGAGATGGTGCTCCCTAGCTGGATTGAAGGAGGTGGGGAGCCACAGCACTGGGCAGAAGTGAAGCTGCAGTCTGTTCCATGAAAAGTGCTGTATTTACTTTCACCTGGAGCCCAAGGAAAGCTGAGGCTAATGGTAGAGGTAGTCCTCATCCTCCCACCTACATACTAACTCTAAGAGATCCATAGTCCCTGTCTTGTATAAGAATAAGCAGAGCTAAAAGGATGATGAGGACAAGCACTATCTGTAACATCACTCTGGAGAATGATGTCGTAGTTGTGGTGTCCTGACTCTCAGTCTGAAGTTTGTAATAGGTTCTCATAAGCACACCAGTTATCTTTGTCATTGATGGCACCAAGCTGTAGGAAGATTTCTGAAGAGACCATGTTCAGATTAGCATTTATGGTCATTTTCCATATTGACTGTCTTTTCCTAGACTTGCAGAACTGTATTGTCTACCTCATCTTTGCACTGTAATATTTATAGCAGAAGTAGCAGTAGAGTCAAAAGTTAAGTTGCTACAAGTGACAGAGGGAGCCTCAGATAAACTCCCCTTCTTCCCTCTCCTCTTTTGCTACTAAGAGGCAGATAGAAGTAGTTTGTTGTGGATTGTTGACTGTGGCTACAATTAACTAGAATATCCTGAAGTGTAGCTCAACACCAAGTCCAGCACATACTGACTGACTTGGAGAGAAAGATACTGGAAGGTATTAGGGAGGGAGAAACCAAAAACATTCTTCTGAAAATAAGGGTAGCAAAATCAGGGTTCAGGCTTCTGTGGGGCCTTATTTCCTTCTGTCACATGTAGAGCAACTTCTCATGTCATCACAAGCTCTTTTGCTTCTTGTCTAGGTTCCTGCAGTTTTGAAAAAATCCCAACCAGCAGCTGGAAGAGTGGAGATAAAGACCAGCCTTAAAGGAGATACATTTGGGCTGAGCAGAAGCACCTTAACAAACCAGTAGGAACAGCAGGAAAGAAGAGACTTTTATTGTTACAGGGTGGACTTTGGACACTTTCCTTGTATTTGTTCTTCCTTACTGAAAACTGCAAGAATTTCTAA